AATGCGGCGCATGACCATGCTATCGAACTGGAACCAGGGAAGCAACCCCCGTTCAGGCCGATCTACAACCTCTCTGCTACTGAGCCGAAGGTCTTGAAGAAGTCGGGCATGTCGATATGGCCACCCCCAATGTCGATAAAAATGCGTTCCTCTCGCTTAGAAACTGGAGATATGGTGGCGTGTCCTTCGTGGACAGTACTTACACGCATGCTTTGGAATCGTGGGTCCCTTGATATCCATTCTGTCCACCATCTGGGATACACGGATGACATTAGGAATCGATAAATGCGCGAAGCGACGGTGCCATGTCATAAGATTGACCTTATCTTTCTTCAAAGCGTGTGCGTCAGCTCGATTGCCGCATGGCCGTTCCAGAACGAGCGTATACTGCTTGCTCGGGAACCTGCTGTCCAGTCTGGACGTCAGCTCGGGCTCGCTTGCAATCTTCTTGGAATTTGATATCAATTGCATTGAACGGTTATATTCCTGTTCTGGGTAAAGGAGAAATGCGATTGGCTGCGTTTGGAACAGTGTATCTGACTTTGTAGGCTTGACGAGCTTGTCAGCTTCTATAGCAGCTTGACTACCCATGAGCTGAAGCATATATGTGCTCCGTACGATATCGCCATATCCGATGATCGTCTGATCCGACAAACGTGTGATAATGACGCCATCTGGAAGGAGATTCACCCCCAGACCCTTGCGGCCCAATCGAAAGGTGCCTAGGAGATTGACCGCCACCTCAGGGACGTAAAGACAATCAGTGATAATGACCCGTCTGCGTATCCAGCCGGATGAGCAAGATGCAGAACAATGTCCCCAATCAAATCGGAGTATGTGATTTGCCCCGTCGCCGTCTTGATTCCCCGTTTGTATGGCTCCCTCGTACCATTGATAAAGTTCTCTGGCGTCATGACAAAGTGCTCGGTGGCTCCGGAGTCCATAATCCAGTTGTTGGCGCCGGTATGAAGGCACAGAGCTGGATCGACGGTGACAGTGGCCATCTGCATGTCCTTGATGTCATCTCATTCGACTGGCATGGGTGTAAGGCTACCGCCATCTTCGTCGAGCGTATCCGAATTGGTAGGGGGTAAGGACTTCTTCGTCGTCCGTAAAGGGGAGGAATTAGTCGTCTTCGTCGACAGGGATCTCGTCGTCATTGATGAGGCGGAAGGAAAGCATCGTGTCTTTGAGCATCATGGCAGTTGCATGTGGCATCTTGTCTTCGGTGCTGACTGCGTGCGCATGGTGATAGTTGTGTTGATGGTTCTGGTTCCGGTTAGATGAGGCCTTCTTGCCCCTGTCTGGCTTCTTGTCTGGATGCAATTCCCTACAGTCAGGCTCCTTGTGGCCTGTCTTACCGCAGGGGTTTCCATTTCTAATTCTTGCGGACTTCCCAAGGAACTTTGCCATCTTCCTGGTCCTTGGCGTCAGACTTGGAAGATTGATTGGACTTATATGTATTGCTGTTTCCCTTCCGGGCCAGCTTCTTGCCTTTCCGGGCTTTCACGATGTTGGCAGACGACGCGTTGCATTTCATCCGCATCTCTTCCTGAATAAGGATTTGGACGATACCGTCAAATGTCGCGGTTTTCTTATCAAATCTGCTGCTGAGATAAGACATAGAAATGTCTCCTCTGTTTCCCCAGGACTGCAAAGGAGAAACTGGACTTTGACGGATTCCCCAAGCTTCTCGCCTTCCTTAAGGCTTTGTTCAAGTTTGTCAAGAGCAAGAGATAGTTTCGACACGTAATCTTGGACTCCATTGCAATTATCGTACAGCGTAACTCCCGGGGTAGATGAATGGCACGATATCAACATCGCTACCAGGTATAGGGGGGTTCTCCTGCTTACCATGTCTTCTTCTTAGTTATCACTTGCTATTGCTAGTTGCTAATGAATGATATTGATTCCCCTTCTGATCTATGTTTCCCTTAGGTGAACTGGTGTCCATCTTGGACATGACCTGTCACCTGGCTTACTACCTGCTATATGACTTAGCCTACTCTTCAGAGTGCTGTGAAGTATCCCTCGTACATTTGGTAACCTTGCCACGAAGATGGAATTGAAATAGAGCGCTCCATGCGAGGCTTAGCCAAGCAGAATGGACGAATAGAATCAGTGGGGGAGAATATCATCATCATCGCTAGATCAATGCTTCTTGGTTCCCGCTTACCCCGTCAAGCTGTGGCACTACGCCATCCAAGCAGCCGTTTATCCCGATAATCGACGTCCTCGGCGAGATAGAGATCCAGAGAAAGAATTGCAGAGATGATTCGAACGAGCCAATGGAAACGAACTGATCAACGATGATGATGATAAGCCAACCTGGATGACTTCGTATGAGAAATTGTATGGAAGAAAGCCAGTTCTCTTGAATCTGTGGGTGTACGGATGCCGTGCCTACCGTCTACATACGCCACGAAGATATCCTGACAACGGAGAAAATAGAAACACGTGCCTGTGTACACTATCTCGTCAGCTACACGGCGTCAAATATCTGGAAGAATGGATTCCACTCACAAGTACCATCATAATTGAGAGAGATGTTAAACTCCTTAAGACATCACGTACGACCCAGGATCAGCCGTTTCACAAGCTAGCTTAGTCTTGCTGGTCAACATGCCTGAGATTGTCGCCGCGCAAGGTATGCTGGATCTTCCTTATATAGAGATTCAACCTCCCCATAGAAATTCAACCTCCCCTCAATGACGATGAAGATATTCCAAATAGTGGCATGGGAGATGTAGATGCAGGAGGTGAGGTTGGTGAGGTAGAATCTTAGGGGGTGAATGTTGCGAAGCAGCAGAGATGGAAGTCTGCTATGTGTAAATCGACCAATCAGCGCCCGCGGCAGAATCTGATAAACCCGTGACGTCAGGCTTCCAACGCCAGAACGGCCAGATCCATCTCCGTCACCACACAGCACAATCCAACGAACCCCGACCTCTCAGCTAGTGCCCGAGGCGCTGGAAGATAGCCCAGAATGACCGATTCAAACCGTTGAACCCCTGAGTACGGACCATTCCTATCATAAAGTCGATCCGCCTAGCAAGCAGCAGCTCTCAGGTCTCAAACCCAAAGAACCCCTGGAAATGGCAGAGCATCCGAGGCCTTCGAAAGAAGAAGACTAGATTTTTCAACCGATAATGTAGCACATGAGGAATGACAGCGGATACCACCAAAAGAGAATATCTTAAAGGGCGTTCTAGATACATTCACTTAACGAAAAATAGTGGAAGCCAGGTATTACTATTCACTTTACTTTATTAATCTTCCCTTTATTCACCTTCTTTCCTTTCAGAAGCAAGCCATAGCTAGTAGCTTCCTTTAGTCTTCCTTTACCTACTTTGTTTTACACCTCTATCCATATTCTCTTTGAAAAACTACATATGGGTTCTCTTTTATACCCAGCAAGTCCTGCAACCTCCAGCCTGTCTCCAACATTATTGCGTTTCTGCAATCTCAGCAACAAAGCCAGTCAGGTACAGCAGCTTCGGATGATCAGACCCATGTCTTGACGGACATCTGCTTTAGCAGAAGGGTGACTGTCAGTCAGGGCCGGTCGGAAATGCCGTCCAGCGAGCCATCGATAAGATGGAGAAAGATAAAAGCTTTTAGAAGGAACCTGCGGACGGGTGAGGCAATAGTATGGTCCCTATTCCCTGATACTATCTCTGTGTTTCTCAACTATTTCACTAACCTTTTTCTGAGGCAAATAGGTATTGATATCCTGGCGAGGAATGCCAGATGCAGTATGGAGTATGGACGCGGCAGAAGATCCAGAACAGCAGTAATGCGGATGAAAAGGATATTTGGAAAAGGTCTACTTATGGCCCAGCTTGGAGGTGATAATGGTTACGGATCTTCTGCCGCGTCCGTATGGATCTATTCTCTATCTCTGTGGGTATGTCTTCTTATATAAAGTACATCCTTCTCTTATGATATGGGATTCTGACCTGCTGCAGCCACAGGAAGAAACACACCAGTCATGATGTCCGGCCTACCGTCCGCGGAAACAGACGCAATAAATCTGATTGCTCGCGATATGGAGTCCCTTGTAAAAAAGATACAGGACCTCCGTCACATAGGCATCGAAGACAGCCAGATTGCTCTCCCCAATGGACGGAGTTTCCCCGTTACGTCCTACACCGGTCAGTCTTCTGCCAGTCTACTATACGATACTGCAAACTCTGAATAGTGCAAGAACGCTTCGGCGCACCTTACATAAACTCATGAAAGAGGCCGGACTTTTGCATCATGTCCGTGCTTCTCAGAGAAATATGCGTCATAGGGATCAGAGCCCAGTCTGTTCAAGATGCGTCAGATCGTCAACGCGATATACACCATCGGGATCAAAATGACATGAGAGCATATTCCTATTAATGTTCCGGAACGCCTTCTGGGGTCCAACAACGCCTATGCATTGGACCCCAGAAAACAACCAGCTCGTGAGTACGCTCTCCTCACTAAAATACCAAGACTGATAATAATATGAAAGCATAGATATTCCTATTAATCTTCCGGAACGCCTTCTGGATGGAGAAAGGCTACCGCCTTAAACACAAGCTTCAGCTTAAAATATGGGGAAGGGAGGTCATGACATAGTCACAGCTTCTACTAAAATCCTCGAAACTCATGACCTCCCTTCCCCCACTGGCAACGCACCAGGTTTGGAATCGAGGAACAAGGACGATGAAAGTAGCTTGGACCGATGCCTGCGACTACATACCTACGTTCAGGAAGTAATCATTACGCCCACATCAAGTGGAAACTCTGAGCCTAGCCTCGAGTGAAGCCCTTCCTCATGCTAGGATGGTCTGCCGGGATGAGCAGTACAAGAACAATGCAATTATGTTCTATATTTCTTCAGCAAAAGACTTGAGTCTCCCTAGGAATTAATATCGAGCCTTTCGAATAGCGCGAGGGTAGGGGGTAGGTCGGCCACCCCTGTTAAGACCCCTGGCTTCAAGCGCAAGCACAGAGAAAAGGCTGGTGCCATGGCTGATGCAAGTGAGAACGCCAACCCTCTCAAGAACGAGGAGAACACCAAGACGGAGACAGGCAAGGACGAGATTGACTCGCCTACTAGTAGCATCCCTACCTCACGATGGAGACACACCTACATACTGGTTGAATCCGCACGCCTTTGCGCTACCAGCTACACAGTGGTCTATACCAGTGGCGTAGACATGCCTTCGTCTGGACCAGGAAACACGCCTGTCGCTCCTTGTCAAGGTGGACAACATAGTTGGAAATCTCAACGGCAATGTGGACTTTGCCATTTGGTACGAGGGCGATAGGAATGGCATGGGGACCAATCTCGTTGCTGTGGAGGCCAAGCGGCGCTTACCTCTACTCAGCTTTCTCCTTACTTACTCCTACTCTTCATATCTCCTCAATCTCTTGATCATACAATTCAGCTATTTACTTGCTCTCTTCTTTCACTCTGCCAAACACCATACTCAACATCCTCAACATCCTTAACCGCGACAATGCCTATGTGTTGGACCCCAGAAAACGACGAGCTTGTGAGTATATTCTCGCCACTATCCATGGAAACCAAGACTGACAGTTTAACTCAAACACAAGCTTCCGCTCAAAATGGAGACAGGCGAAGAAGCCGCTCCACCCGACTCTTTCAGGAAATCAACCCCAGGTCCAGAGTGGCGTCGGGGGGGCACGTACCCGCGCGCGTAGCGCTATCCCGACACCTCGGTCCAGAAAAGAGGACGACGAGGTCGAGATGGAATTTTCAGCCAATACACCAACTTATCGAGGCCCCCCTGCCCTTGTTTTCCAATTCAGTCGACTTGTTGGCCGTCCTCCGAACCCGCCCGGCGAACGTGATGTGGTGCTCAAGACCGAGGGATCTGATGAATCCGTCTTTGGTATTCTAAACACTGCTATCAAGCGTTCCCGCAAGGCGAGCGTTCTTCCCGCTGGTATGGTCAGCTACGAGGGCGATGACTAGGGCACACTGCTCTCCACGACGCAACTGAGTTCGGATTCTACTCAAAAGCATTGAGACTCATGCAGTGACCTCCTGTCTGTAGACGCGAACAATGTCGCTTCTGCCTGCCTGGCGTAAGTTCCACTATTCAAGTTTCTCCATTCCAGAACATTGTATAGATATGACAACTACTAACGCTAAGGTAAGTGGATACAAAGCCCACTTCTCGCGCCATCAGGGAACGTCTTCAAGATGCGCCAGATCATTCCGTTTCGGAAGTGATGGCTTCACCGGAAAACGAGAAGCCCACTACTCGCGCCATCAAGGAACGTCTGTTCAAGATGCGTCAGATCGTCAAGACCCCTGGTTCGAAAGGCACATGTTGGAGGCGCTGCCTCAGGCCAGACGGCCCTACGTTGATCCGTAGGACCATCGACTAGGGTTCAGATAGCCTCGGATCACCTTCTTCCCTTTCTTCTCTCTTAGTAGTCATAATATCATGAGCTTCATTTTCCAGCAGCTTCACTAGCACACCTTGCGCAATTACATACATACCGGTTGAAGCTTTACAGCTGCATATCTAACTGCTTAGAGTAGCATACTGCTTCACTTCGCGGGCCTTGGATGGTTGCGACCAGCTACCTAATATGTTGTACCTTAGTTGTTCTATTACTACCTTATTAGTCGACCTTCTCATCTTAATATGTTAAACATTTGTTAATAAATATAGTATTATTTCTCATTATAATCTTACTATGCTTAGAATAGTAATAATATATTATCTGCGCAAACATTTGGTTTTGAATAATAGTTGTACGAGTCTAGTAAAATGACATTCCATTATCTTACGATCGTCCGATCATTATGCAAATCTACCAAGCCCCCTTATGGTATACTGACGAGGTATGTTGGAACTAGGAGAAGTGGGTTACACACCGAATGCCATACAAGCATACTCTCGACGTTTCAAATGAAAAGAAGCGGATTTTATATGAACCGACGCACCTATGTCATGGAAGATCGCGAAGGAAACCCGATCTGCCGCACCCAGGAGAAATTCCATCAAGAAGTGGTCAAATATAATCCACTTCCAAATGCAGCTATCTTCACAATGAAGAGATATTCTGCAAGGCTGCACCAACCGGAAGCAGCAAGCAAGAGATGGTATCAACAGCTTGCCTAACTCAGTGATGAGGCTGTTCTCCACCTTGAAGAAACAGCGATTGTGGCGACCGTGATCAGCTGCGAGAATTCAATCTGCGAGACCTGTAGATGGGCAAAGGCCAGCCGGAAGATATCACACACGCCTAGGGAGAAAGCTACTGAGGCGTTCAAATCATCCATTTCAATCTAATCAGGCTTACGCCAGCCCACAACGGTGATCGTTGGATGAGACGTTTCGTCTGCGAAGCCACAGGATATCATGTTCTTTGCGCGCACCCTGAGAAATCGCAATTAAACAACGTTATCAAACAGTTTATTGCATGGGTAAAGACGCAGTTTGGAATCCAGGGCGATAAACGATTCTCTGACGCGGACAAACGGTCAGGAATGAATATATCCACAGGATGGACTTCGAAGGTATGGAGATTATTCCTCCCCATATATCGACGAGCAAAAGGAATATATCGTGCGTGCCAGATGAACGATCATCAAGATGGCCCGCAGTATGCGAATCGCTGCTAGGCTGCCGGAAAAGCTGTGGCCGTAACTGTTCCAAGCCGCCGTATATCTGCACAATTGACACCGCCGCGAGGGAGCAGGTAGGAGGTAACGGTAAGAGGACATGGATCTGGATAACGCCCTATGAGAAATCATATGGCAAGAACTCGTCAGTTGCAAACCTCCGCGTGTAGAGCTGCAGGGCCAGGGCCCTACGTGACATACCACAAGAAGAAGATCCCGAAAACAAAGAAGATAGACCCTCCTGTCTGGGTAGGCTATCTAGTTGGATATACGACTTCCAAGATCGGGAAGATCTGGAATCCGTTAGGAGGCACGATCGCGGAGGAGAGAGATGTTACCTTTGACAAAGACAAGGGCTTTGACACTTACCAGCTGTTCAGTGCACCAGCCATACACATCTTACCTACGCTAATGTCAACGAGCTGCCAGAAATCGACGATTTACCACTTCGTAGGAAGTGATGACGTTGAGCTGCATGAGGTTGACGCTCGGCAGTGAATGAGGTGAATGATGAGATTCGGGAATGAGGTTTGGGATATACCCAAATCGGAAAGCGGTGTTCTATATCAAAAGGACCCGACCGAGACTGTTTGAGCCTCAATCTTCAACGCCGCTATCAAACGAGTTGCCTAATCGGGATATGCATACGGCTTCAACGCTCTCCCTTGGGTAGAATTACCATTGTTCAATCTTAGTGGGAGTTCTAGCTACGTCATTTTGACAATAATTATAGAATCAAGCAAATGCTATTCACTTGCTTTGTTGAGATTCTCTCATTCGCCTTCTTCGCTTTGTAGAAGCAGCGGCTTGTCACTGCGTAGAGGGAGATTAAGGTGCGGCTGCTTGACAGCCATAGTAAAAGCAAGCTATTGCTATTTACCTTCTTTATGAAACCTCCTTTATTCACCTTCTTCGCTTTGTAGAAGTAGCAATTTGTCACTGTTCTAGGTGCGGCTGCTGGACCAACATTGAAAGGGAGATGCAACATTCCTTCCTTTACCTACTATGTCTTATACCTCTATCCATATTCTCTACTGCATGCAGATTTTTCATTTATATCCAACAGGCTCTGCTGCCTCCATTCCATCTCCAGCATTCTTGCGTTTCTGCAATCTCAGGAACAGAGCCAGTCAGGTATGACGGCTTCGGATGAGAGGCCTGTCTCTTGAGGGACGTCTCTCTCGCGGGAAGGGTGACTATCAATCAGGCCCGGTCGGGAATGCCGGACGGCCATCTCTTTCGCTATAAGGGTGACTATCGGTCAGGCCTTAATGGCGACGTGGGAGCATCTTCCATTCACTGCGTTATTGATCGCATCAAGAGGCCGGAGCAAGATAAAAGCTTTGGGAAGGAACCTACCGATAGGTGAGGCGATAGTATCATCTAATCCCTGTGACTATCTCTGTGTTTCTCAACGATCTTACTAACCTTTTTGTGAGGCAAATAGGTATTCGCAACCTGGCATTCAGCATTGCCACTTGCATATGGACGCGGCAGAAGAACCTTTCTTTGGAAGTTGATGAGTTGAAAAGGATAACGATGACCTTGGATGCCAAGCTTAGCTCTTTGCAAAGAGCCCAGGAGGAATATTCAGCTCTCCTGAAAGAGAAGACAAAAGTATGGATGCGCAGCAGAAACGTCTCGATGCCATGTTCTAAACAATAGAAGGTATGTTCTCTGGGTCCGGCCATATTAGACGAATGCTAATGAGCTAGCCGTCTGTTGATATCTCAGGATAATGACGAAAGTGTACCTCACACTTGCTTGCCCTGAAAGCCAGCATTATAGATCTACCCAGCGGGCAGGCGAGGCAACAAGGGCATTCCTGGATCCGGTGTTTGCGAGTGCACTAAATCAGCAGAATCGGAAATGGTTAAGGAACTTCTGCCGCATCTGAAGGAGGAGAACGGCTCTGCTATTGACGACAATTGAACTTCTCTGAACTGCTTCTATGTATCAGTTCTCTGATCATGAGGGTTGCTTCCTAGCTCATGTTGTTGCGTTGTGTTCTGGTTTTCATCTGTATGGATCCAGCCTCTATCGCTGCGGGTATATCTTCTTATATACATCCTACTCTTGCAATATGGGATACTGACATCTATTAGACGGGCTCCAGAATATCACCATAACACGGATTCTCTGTGGACGGCACTTACTTGAATATTGATATCTTCTTTTGGCTCTGACGAAGCTTTTACTCCCCTTTTCACGGAGGATTTCCTGCATGTAGGGATTCTTTACCCCATACGATAAAACATGGTTGGCGACTACAATGACTGGCTACGCAAGGGTGATCATAAAGCCGTCTTCTTCTAGCGGCACTGAAAGAAGCAGGAAGAGCACTATCAGCCAGGTACTCCTGACTCCAAGCCTAAACTCTAGTACATCATTTAACTGACCTGCTGCAGCCACAGGAAGCAACACGCCAGTTATCATGTCCGGCCTACCCTCAGCAGAAACGGACGCAATTAATCTCGTTGCATGGGATATGAAGTCCCTCGTTAAAAAGATACAGGACCTCCGCCATATAGGCATTAGGGACAGCCGAATTGCTCATGGAAATAAATCTGACAGAAAGCAGGCTGGGCCGGCTTTGGAATCTGAGGACGGAATTCCAGATGAATATAAGACGGTACGCCGTTGAGTATCTGGCTCAGATAATGGACGCTATCATTCAGCAGCTGTGCCCCGGGCAGGACTTGCTAGTCACTTGCTGTCACCCAATGGCGATGTGGGAGCATCTTCGATTGAGTGCGTTGTTGATCGCATCAGATCTATCCCTACATTCAGTGACGCTTCATACACAACGATAACCAACGGCGTTCTGGGATTGGGGACAGAAGGCAATTATCTCAATGATAATTGCTTCAACCGGCTGCTGCAAGACTTGGGCCGACCTGCACCCACCGCAGCAGCACCCCTGCCGATTAAAGAGGCACTGGAATCGGAAATTTACCCCAGCAAAGACAAATACACCCAACGAGCAATGGAGACAAATTATGGGACATCTTCAACCAGGTCCAGCGCCAAGGACATGATGTTCTGCTTGCTTGAGAAACAAGCAAGTTATTACAGGGGCCTGCTTGCACTGCCAATGACGGACGATGCAACAAACTCAATCAACAAGAGGTCAAGGGGTGGTTTCCAAAAGAGCCATCGACCTGCCCATTCAAACAATAGAAGGTAAGTGCTCTGCATCCTAGCGTTAGATGAATGCTAATAAGCTAGCCGTTGTCGATATCTTAGGACAATGACGAAGTGTACCTCACACTTGCTTACCCTCGGAGAGTTCGCTCTCAAAACGAGGAGTAGATGAACTCCGGGAAAGCTGACAACCTTTACAATTTACTCCAACAGTTTCAGGAGAACGGAAATCGAACCCTGGTGTTCTCCCCGTTCGCTCTGGTCATGGATCCAGATCTGACAGCACTGCGACTCGGTCGATCTCCCCGCCTATCCTGCAAGGCGGCCAACACCGTGTGTGCAGCCCTAGTGGGTCTCTGCAAAGATGTTGCAGAGACTCCCCTTCATTCGCTTGTTATGTCGCTCGACCCAACCTTGATGAAGATGGAGGATGACGCTGAGAGTTTCTCATCTGTGTTTGGTGGTGCTGCTAAGCAGGAAGGTAGGCATATCCATGTGCCTGTAATCAAGCATGATGGGTTTGAAATGCCTTGATTCAGACGAATCTGCACGGGCTGTGCTCATTAAAGAGCACAAGTTACTGCTCTCAAATATTACGGAATGATATTTAAGTTAATTAAATCTCGTAGCTACAGCACCTAGGCAGCCGGGCCTACGTTCTTCCGGGCTAGGGCACACGCCTAGTGGATGAAGCATAACCATGCCACCGAGACTATTTATTAGACCCAGACAAGCGCTGAACATGGCATACTAGGTATGGCGGTCAGACATGACTAGGGTTGGCCAGGGGCCATATAAGTAGATCGAGAGTGCTCGCCGTCGTGGCATTCATCCATGACTGCATTCAGCGGGCCGCCGTTGGCAAGGCCATCATATGTGCCAATATCGTCGGGCAGGAGACGGCCATGGCGTGGTATTCGGATGCAAGGCATGTTATAGCCACCGAGTGTGTACTAGATGAGAGGTGTCAGAACTCGATACTCGTTCGCCTTCGCTACCATATCAGGTTAGGGTGACGCTCCGCACCTCACCTCTCTTATGTAGATAGCTTCTCTCCTTCTAGGTAGTACGATTAGTGAATATCATGATTCTATCATCATCCTTCTGATTTCACAGGTTACGAGCCCCCGTAGGTCATTACGAGGTTATCGTCTTTATTCCCTACTTCTACACTCTTTTAACGCGTGCCGTACGCTCATCCCTCATTGGTCAGTCCAGAACTGACTTCGCGGATCCGTACCGCTCTTCCTTCCATTTACGGCGATTCTTCCGCAGAATCCAGCCTATCTTGTCGAATCTAAGCCTCGAGGTCTGGTAGCCTAGGTAGGTATTTCTACCGTGGAGAAAACTACGGGAGTCCTCTTCCTGCCTCATCCGGACGTTGCCGCTTTAAGAGGGTGAGCCGGGTGAGTCAGGTGATTCAATCACCCTCCAAGGTGATTCGCTCATCCCTTCAAGGTGACTTGCTCACCCATTCGAGCTGATTTGTTCACCCATCAGACATCTACACTCCCCCTTTCACTCACCCATCCTCTCTTCGTGCACGCCAGCTCGTTAGCTGCTTCACTAAGGAAAACCAAGATGCACCGGCAAGAGGAGATAGCAGGCATGGCTGTGAAAAGCTGGCCTGCAGCTGCCCCCGGCAAATGGCGCGTTGACGCCCTTTCCCTCTCCTCTTCCTCTCATTCTCTCTCCCTCCCTCTCAAAATCTCGTAAGATCGTGCAACGTGTGCCTTCTTACTGCCTTTTCCTTGTTTAACTCCCGACATATTACGCTTCTTTTTTCGTCGCTTCCCAGTATCTTTGGGATATTGACTTAGCCTACAACAATGCCCAAGAGAAGAGGCAGGCAAAAGGTCGATAGACAAGCTGTTGCGAGAGCAAACGGCTACGTCCGAGGAGCGAACCGGGAACGGGACCAGCATCGCTGCGAGGCTCATTATTCTGATGGGTCCATGGCTCTCCAGGACAAGGTTCTGGAGATTTATATCAAGTGAGTGTTGTTTGACATCCTTGTCTCGTTCCATTTGTCCATCTTTGCTAATCCGACATTTTCTTGCCTTATAGATGGGCTTCTGAAGAGGATGTGAAACTCCGAGATGAGGGTCTTCAGAAAGGCCACCCACTACCCGACCTTGGTACGGTAAAGGATTTCGTGCGCTTTTATATTCAATCTTCAGACGGAATCCTCTCACTGCGCCCTACAAAGTCTTCCGTACTGAATTTTGCTGAATGATTCTTTGCCGGGTTCACACGCCTTACAAAGTCAGTTTTTGATAAGAGGGATACTCAGGATGTGTACAAGGTTTGTGGTCCATTTATTGAGAAGTGCTTATCCCAGAGTACTGATTAAGAGTAGTTCATAAAAAAAGAACTCGTTCACGAGGAGGTCATCGAAGACATAAGAAGAGCGAAGCACATGTTCACCCACTGTGATCTCTCAAACATTATTAAGTCACTGTGGACTGATGATGATCCCAAATTCATCCACCCGAGGTACAGAGTGCAAATGACATTTGCTATTCTGATATATTGCTACTCGGGGGCTCGAATCGGCACGTTTGTACCAGACACGTCGAAAGCAGACGAACGCGGACTGCGATACAAAGTATTTTAGCGAACCCGCAGCGCATTGGTGTGGATATGTGCTGACCGGTTATAGGATATTGAGCTCTATATCTATCGCAGACCAGACGGAGAGATAGAGCTTTTTTTCCGCCTTAGCGAGACATGGGTTAAGAATAATGATAATCCAAAGCACACAGCATATGTCCGCCCTAGAGATACCCTCAAGTATCCCCTCACCTAATAATACGCGCCCAGTTTCCGTGTCGCAATGAGAGAGCACGGAAAGCTACGGTTCAATCCTGTTGCCTTCTTGTTGGAGATGGCTATTCAGGATGGTGCTTTCCGGCATATCGATTCGCTGGATACCTTGAAAAGGTGGAATCCTGATCATAAGGAGCCAATCCCACTCCTCTGGGCATCATCTGTGGCCAAGGAACCTGTATTACGAACCGTGACCAGATTTGGTGGAATATCAAAGCGTCCATGGACACGAGAGTGTTTCTGCAGTCTATTCAGGGCAGTTGTCATCAACGCTGGATATCCAGAGATCATTACGATCCATACTTTGCGACGTGGTCTTGCCAATAGGCTTGACAGTACGTTTTGACCCAGTTGTCGTTTTTGACCAGCATAGAGCTAACATCTGCCTACAGAAGTGGCAACCGATGCTGAGAGGAGCCAGGTCCTCACACAAAAGGATCCGAATGTTTTCGGAAGAAGTTACATAGACAGCACCTCAGCGCTAAGCACCATGGATGTGTTCCTAGGGGAGGCAATGCGCCTCGACCACATCGAGTATCTTAGAGGTGTGGGTAAATACCGTGCAATAGGATATCCGAGACATTTGCCAGCGCAGCGACAGCATGCTATTCAGCAAAATCAAGACTTGCAGGAACTCGAAAAGCGGCTTCAGGAGCTGCATGTACAGCAGAAGGCCAACGACGATGATTCTGATAGCTATGAGGATAAGGATGACGACGACAGCGATGTTGACGAGGCTGACGCGGACGCCAAAGTTTGCTATCAGGTTCACAAAGAAACAAGTGCAAGTCTTGAAAACTCGTCTTCACGACGCCGAGTTAGCTCAATATCGGAAAGAGTGGATTGAAAGTCGAGTGGAAACGCAGGTAAAATCAGGAGGCAAGGCTACGGAAGCGATCGTGTATAACGATATTACGCGCTGCCTTTTCAAGGCTCAGCCCGAACGTCAGCATCTCGCTGAGATGATACCCTCGGACAAGCTCCTATCCTATCAGGAGATGCTCTCCGCGGTAGAGAGCCTGCTGTCTTTATGTACCAAAGACTATAATGTTTTCTATCGTCCTGGGCAGGAACCACTGAATGGAAGATGCCCAGTCGGCGATTGCAACCCAAATGGGTAAGTCAGATCCCTGGAAAATGGTAAATACGCAATCCTTGTGTCCTAACATGCTGCTAGACTCCCTCGCACGCAACGGTCTAATCATGTTCAAGCTTGCCAACTTAAGGAACGCTGTAGAGCCCTAGGTCGTAAAGAGGCCCAGCTGAAGTATTGCTACGAATGTTTTGATTTTTTCGCTGAGGAACAATGGGAAGAGCATTGCAACAACCATCTTGAACATGATGTTTCCAGAAGATGCGAAATCATCACATATTGCTATACCCTCATCCGACCTGGGTATTGTCCTTTATGTCTAGGCTGCGATAGCCTTACCCCTTCGCAGCGCATGAAAGACTGGAAACGGGGCAATGAATTGAGAGCTCATGTCAACAAAGACATAAAGAAGATGCGCGGAAACTACGTGTGTTCACACCCGATGTGCCAAACCAAGTTCGAGTCTGAGATCCAACTTCGTTACCATCTGAGCGATATACATGGGCTGCACAAGGCAATCTGGGATGAAGCGGATGATCCCTCTGAAAAGGAAGACTCGGCTCAAGCTGCTTTCTGCGTTAGTACCGGTAAGAAGCGACAGCATGGGCGGGTTGGGCAAAGGGGCGAGAAAAGACAGAGAGCTGGCAACGGACAGGGTGAAGGCCTTCAGATTATTCAATGGGAGTGTCCAAAGTCTCCTAGTTATCCTACACCCCTCCACGGCCTCCTATCTGCTGGCAACAAGAGGCGAAGTCTGCACCTGGCCAACCCGAACGAATCGGTTACCCAGTTTTGGGATCATGATGCTGGGAACGCTTGGGACCACGATGCCGAAGCAGGAGCGCCATCCAACGCCAGCGTTGGTAGGAGCATTTCAAATGAAGACCGCCAATCTCGCCAGGGTGACTCTATTTTCTGTTCCTCTGACTTGTCCAGCACCCCGAGCCTCACCGCAAGCGTTTCGTTTGAGTCTTCAACGGCCGGTACTAGCCCCGATCTTCTACCAATTGATCCCCAGATACTTCAAGGAGTCAATATTCCGCCATTTGGAGTTGATGGACGCGAACTCAACCTTGATGAAGCAAAGGAACGAAATAAGCACCTGTGCTGTGGGTGTAGTTTCGAGGCTGGCATACAACATGGTATCAGCCCAATGGAAGTTGAAGCAGCACGGGACAGGGGAGCGTGATCCAGCATGGCCTTTACGGCCGCCATTTCCAGCGGCAAAGCACAGATCCATCGGCTGTGTAGTTTGTCACTGAGTGTGAATGTCATTTTCGCTTCATGCACAAACATATAGCAGCAAAACTTAGCCCAGTAAGGCCTAGAAAATAAATTGGATGTAGGCAAAGAGAAGATTGATCAGACAGACGACCAAACATCAAAGCCTGAGGTTGACCTTCCTCCTCGACCGTTCGTTTTAGCTTTCCATATAATAAATGTACATGTACCATCGTGATTTCGTCTCTGTGATGCGGGTACACCAAGAGTGGCTACGGTTGGGCGGATCCATGCGCAAATTTTGCATCTTGATTGGCCGAGAAAAGAGCCAATGAATCGACTCCTCCATCCCCCATGTTTCAAGGGGACAATATAAAGGAGAGAGAAGACCGCCAACTCGATTGAAGCGACAGTCTTACATATCCTGGCATCATGTTGACGCGACGCCTTCTTCGACGGGAGATTACCTATGAATCTACCAGGGCAACCACAAGGGTCGCCACGGCGACGTGCAAGAAGCGGCTTCATTCTAATCGAGGCGACGACGACCACCAGGATCCCGAAGCATCATTTCCTGATGCAAAACGACAGCGCCGGAAGAAGAAACCAAAGTTTACGACCAAGTCTCTTCCTCGTCCGGTGGGCGATTCCTACGCCGTTTCGTATGGATGTTCCCGCGACTTCCACGAGGTCCGCGGGCGAGCCATCCTCACGGTCGCATCCAATGGACTGAAGCCAGCATATTATTTCACATTTGTGCCCGACGCTTGTCCGATGCTAATTCACCCCCCTTCGGCCGATACTTCAGGAAAACAAAGGCCATACTCGTCCGATGAAAACGCACTTTTGGTGCGACTGAAGGAAAGAGAGGGAATGCCATGGTCGGAGATCGCCGCCCACTTTCCTGACCGAAGTGCATCATCCCTCCAAGTCCACTACTCAACCAAATTACGCCACAAGGCCACCACTGGAAGAGAACAAAGATGCCGATGAGAGGCACTAACGTCGAGAGCGCTGGGGCCAAAGCCAGCCTAGCCGAAAGTGGCCGGCAAGCGTATCCAGTGTATTATCTACTTTCCGCAGCGCTCGACCTTGACAATGGGCTGGGCACGCCTTGGTAGGGAACAGTCTTGGATGACACCCTTTTTCACGGGTCTTTTGAGGTGGCCACGTCAGCACAGGGGCTGGTGCAACAGGACGGAGGTCTGTCGGTTTGTTTCGCGCCTTTGAGCTACTGTCGTGCTATATGAGAAGGAATGCTCCTTCAGCACCCTCTCCTCTCACTCCTCAGCCTCGCCAGTCATGGAACGTTTACAGTTTCAATACGTGGTCATTTGAGGCTGCGCTGCCACGGTGCAGGTCCGATCTCAAGAGAACCGCTGGTATTACGCCCCCTACGGTGGAAAAGGAAGGCGGCGGCTTGCGGTCGTCTCTTCGCTCGACAAGGCCGCTAAATAACACCAACAATCCCCGAGTGATCTCCAGGAAAGGCATGCCATGGTTACCCGAGGAGGAGGACCTCTGGGTGAAGTTAAAAAGGGAACAGGGGCAATGGCGTTGACGATCAAGGGCGTACCGCTCTGTGCTGGGCGGCCTATGAAGGGCAGACGACGGTCGTGAGACGGTTGCTGGAGGATGCCGATGTCCGAGTGGATGTCAGGGATCACGAGGGAATCGACGCTCTGAAGGCGGCGGAGAATCGGCATCATCATGATGTTGTTGGCCTCCTACAGGCTTTCCGAGAGGGCCATCACCGCGTCGACGGTATCTTTGCCAAACCTGACCTGCCTAGGCCCTGATTTCTTCGTCCGATCATGAGTTGGCACTCTTGATCAACTGTGGTTGGGAACAGTGTCTTCGCCCAGGTGTACCATTGAATGCAGAAATCAAGAGAGGACCAGCTTCTTGGGTCAAGTGTGCGTTAACCGGTGAGGGTCTGGAATGGATAAAGTGTACGGTGCAAGAGGGTGTGGCACTAAACGGGCAATGAGGTAATGCGAATAGTGTGTCATGCACGCTGGTGTAGAGAAATGACACGCTCACATGGATACTTGTTGAGTCCCGAGCAGCACGAGGTTTTTCTCCTAGTTCATGCAACACGGAGGACGATTGACGAGCTGTTCTTTGGTCACTGAGTCCTTTGCGGCGAATACCAAGGATGTCTTTGGTCTGAACAGGCAAGCCACAACCTGTGACGGCTTGTAATGATAGGATATGTGGAGTGAGCCGGCAAGTCTTTGATTGCGGGGATGTGGAGCGCTGGTGTCACTTTGACTGCTATGTAAGAGAGAGGATGTGGCGCTCGGATGGAGGTCAAGCAAACCTCTCTGTACTCATAGTTCTGATTCGCGTTACTTTGCCGCACGCACGACTGAAAGGAGGACGGAACTTGTCAAATGTAGTGGAGCCCGCGGACAAAATTGGAGGTTGCCGTATACCATGTTGGACGTCGGGGCATCAGGCAGCGATAACCGATCACCTGAAAAAGTCAGGCAAGATAGAGAGAAGGCGGACAGTTGGCTGTCCACCAAGGTAGAGAGAGGGCTGGAAACTGAGATGTAAGAAGAGGCTATAGCAAGTTGCAGCCAGAAGCGACAGGGAACCAGTCTTAAGTTATCGGACCTAAGTCGAGTTTCGAGTGGTGATGCGTGCGGGGCCAGCCATGAGGACAACCAACATATCCGAATGGCATAGCATTCTCCGAAGTGGCGCCGCACATCATGGTAATTAAATAATCGCTGGGCCGATCGGAAGCTGGCTTTTGTTCTGCACAACGAGGACTCCAAAACTGGGAGGACATACTTGTTGCACTCTAGAAACGTACCATGATCGATTGGTAGCAGTTGCTGGGAGTTGATCGTTGTGGTTAGCCGATAGTTCGAGCAGTGTGAGACTAGCCAAGGGCCTTCATGGTAACGGTCCGCGAGACCAGGACAGTACGTCAAACTGCACGCGATAATACTTCACCACACTTTTATGGTGGCAGAATGCGACTTAGTCGCCGGAGCATCCCTATCGCTCTCCCTGAGAATGGCATCTGTGCCCACAGGGGCCACGGTTCAGAGGTAGATGTCCGTCTCTTCCCCAATGCCTTCACTTCGTGAGCAATGTTGTTTGAAAGTTTTGCAAGATCTCGGCTTGCAGTTTCCATAGCGTTGTATCCATCGCCTGTAAATTAGAGCCTTCCAAACTGGATTGTCTCAATCATTGTGGTGAGTTCACGAACAAAGTCGCTCAAGCAACCGGTGATGACAGTTGTTTGAAGGTCTGATGTTTGTTTCTCGTTGGTATGGTGGAGTTCCATTTTATCTATTAGGCGACGAACAGAGCAAGCAGAACAAAAACAAACCCCTAACTTCTGTGTCGGGAATCATTGGCTTTTGTAAATCAGGAGGACTATAAATAGGTCGTTACCTGGGGCATTCCAAAAGTTCACCCAATTCAAGGCACCCAATGGCAGGCTTCTAAGCGTGCTGACTGCAGCTTCCCCTCATTTGTCACGCGCAGGGGGCGGCGCGTAGCACTTACGAGTCGTTTATTGCCGGGTCTATGGCCAATTCTCTCGTAATCATAGTATGATTGGTCTGGATTGTGCACACTCACCTGGTGGTTAAAGATATCACCAATGACATAGGCCTTGAGTTCCTCCCAATCCGGGTGTATTATACCCGCTCAGGCCCCGTTAACAGCCCCGAGTGACAGGGTTCCCCTCTTAAATCACTTATGTTGGACTTCTGGTATTGTACATGCCGCTTAGCCAGTACGATGGTTAGCCGCTACGTGATCTTGTCAAGACACCGGTCTCTCAGCCTACAAAAACCTGTCGAACTTCCAATCTCTACAGTTCACATCTACAGACCACCAGAAGCAGGATCGCATATCATTCTTGTATCTTTCAGGAGCCCTAAACTCACTATTCGAAATCACCAAGGTGGGTTATTCAAGCGGTAATTCATCGATCAATCGCTCACGCTTCCAATTTAGAATGTGCCAAGTCAACGTTGCGACCAAGATTTATACATGCGGTTGCAGGGTCAAAGAAGACATGAACTTCGTCCCTTGCAAAGATATTGGCACCCCTAAGTGCCCGGGTCGCATTCCCAACCCACTGGCCTCACATAGAGAGAGGGGAAAATGCGAGAGATATGACTGCCCGAACCCATAGTCGATCAGACAGAGAGGTTTACGAGAAGGGGGTTGTGCGCAGTGGCCGTATGTGGAGGGCCGAGGGCTCATCTCGAAGGGGCATTGAAGGGGCGTTGATTATGACACGCTATTTCAGATGGCATTGTATTTGGTTCAGTATAACCGCATACTTCATGAGTGCATTGAGATTGCGTCATCATTCTCTCTCATCGCAACAGAATCTCGAACTGCCAACGCTGGTCTTCAATGAGTGCCCTCAAATCAGAGTATTCTCCTGTCCAGCATCGTTGTATCACAGGTCCAGCTGCCAGTCCGTCAACCGGCGGATAGCTTTTGGAGGCGAACAGTTTGTCAACCAATTCTTGGTATTTCTCCATCTCTTCCAGAGACTTGAATGGACCTGGAGACCTGTAGGGCCAATGGCCAGTCATTATCGTATAGTAGATGGACCCGAGGCTGAAAATATCCGTGCTTTTCGTCGATTCCTGATTGCAAGGATTAAAAAATCCGGCGTCGGGGAGATGCCGACCATCTATTTCTCCATTTGTTGACCCCCCAAAGTCACAGAGCAGAAGATCGAGCTTGTTTCCGGCGACACTATGTAACAGAAAGTTCTCAGGTCGAAGATCAGAGTGTATCACACCTTTTTGATGAATGAATTGGATCGCCTCCGCGGCTTGCGTGCGCCATTTGAATCGTAGAGACATATCGATGCTAGCATGGTGCTGGTCAATGTAGTTCTGTAGATTTCCATCGCTTGCTTCGGCAAATAACAATCCAAACGGGTCATCCGAGACGCCCTTGAACCTAGGAAGAAGTCAATCACTGACCACAAGAAGTCAGGGGCTAACGGACTCTATTATTCTTGGATGCAGTCCTAGGATTTCCAGAAGTCGTTTTTCCACCTCGAAACTCCGCTTCATGTCTCGAACGAACCACTTATCCGCCGCTGTCTTAGAATGCCACCAAGAGAATCGTGGACATTTGATGATGACGCCTGGCGCCACGCGTGCAATACGGGAAGTTGAGCCTTCGCCCAAGATTTCGCCAAGAAGAGGCTCGTACAGGACCGGGTCCTCTTTTTCGACGTTTATGTCACCTGCGCATTCCGGGATTGACGTTGCGTATGTATCGTCCGCCGTACCTGGAGGTTGTTTCCCATTGACAGGGCCTCTACAGCACTCAACATCATCTGGCTTCTCACGATTTGGGAGACGAACTTTAAAGAGCGAAGGTACTTTGAAGAGAATGAGACGATACAGATGATATTGCAGAACTGAGAAAAAGGCGAAACCGTGATTCCACATGCTCGTCAACATTTTGGAGATGTGCTCGAAGGGAGTCTTGTGACAAGGAACTGGAGACAAAGAAAGGAGGTCGGTGTCTTTCGAGCCAAGGTCAAGGTGTCTTGCAAACTGCTCAAACAACGGGAGCATAGTCATTGACCAATGATAATCCGCTATATGCACAGACCAACCTGTCGATCAGCTACGATCGAAAACTTGAAATCAAACCAAGAACGATAGTAGCAAAACAGAACGCGGACGGGAAGACTTCATGTCAAGGCAACAGAGGGGAAGGTTACGAGACGGCGTATTGGGGCGCTAAACTTAAAAAAAAGCAAAACTAAGCTGAAGAGGCAGTTCACAGGTCCGCCGTTTACGTTGTGGTTTTAGGTGCAAGAGAAAATGAGGGAATGGCCTAAGTATCGATTAGGATGGCATTTCCTACGTGGAATCTTGAGCGTCGTGCTTCAGTATACCTGTATGGACCTTTACTCCTCCGGGCGAATTTCTGTGCAAACTGTGTCGTCACCTCAGACCAAGCAAGATTCTGTTCTTCCCCGCTCCCCCTCCTCCTTGACTCGGCAAACGAGCCCGCTATCCGACATTCGGCTCCTTGCCAATCCAACGTGGTCTTAAGCGTGCTCTGAACGGAGATCTCTTTTATCTGGTCGATCAACTGGTCTCAGCCTTCCCACGATCCTTCGCCAACCTCAAAAACCTTGACCAATCACGATGGCCCCAGGAATGCATTTCTCGCTCCCAGGATCTACTCGAACCACTCCTGGTAGCGTCTACTGTTCCCGGGACCATGTTTATAGCTCCTAGAGAGAGCGAGGCCGTTCCTGGGAACCTGTCAGATTCGTTAGATAAAAATAAATGATTTATGTGTCTGTCATGATGTCTTGTGTTGATCCTAAATCAGGGGCCCTGTATCTAAAGCGGACTTATGCTAGGCCTATCCAAGTGCTGACTAATCTAACACACCCCCTCAGCTGAAGCCGAAGGCAAAGCTGACATGAAGCTATAGCGACACTATTCAATATCACCCATATACGCCATCAATGAGTTGTGATCGAGCTCTTCATTTTGCTGACTTTCTATAGCCTCTCGTTCCGTAATCTTATTGGCTATATTGACGAGATTGACTTGCTTCAGGAACTCGTTGAATTCGGTCCTTGACAAAGCTTTCGTCAACCCGTTCGCGATCATCTTCTTCGTGGAGACGTGTTCGACTGTGATCCGTCTATCTCTCACCTCCTGTCGCAGCCAATGATTGTGGATATCGACATGCCGTAGTTTTGTCTGCAATCGAGCTATTTCATCTGTCACTAGGCGAATGGTTTGGCGATTATCGCAATGAATTCGTATCCGCTGTTCATCAAGATTGACACTCAATTCGTCCAGCAGGCGCTTGATATATTGACCTTCTTTGGCGCCTTGAGATAGCGATAGCAATTCAGCTTCTGTGGTTGACGTTGTCACGGTGTTTTGCTTATTTGCTCGCCATCCGATGACTCCACCGAACAGAACCATGACATAAGCCTGAGAACTCTTCCGGTCCAGTGTATTGTCTGCGAACGAGGCATCGGTTGCCACTAGGAAGTCGTCCGCTCCTCCTAGCTGTAGAGCTAGTGCTCGGTGCTGATGTAGATAGTGTAGAACGCGGTCCGCAGCAGCATGATGTTCTGGGCCAGGATTTGTCAAAAATCTAGCTAACCGAGATACTGCGAATGCAATATCAATTCGAGTGGTGACTGCGGCGTAGAGTAAGGATCCAATCTTCCTTTGATATCTTCGTACAGTTTGACCTGACGCTCGTTCTTTATAGGGGAGTAATTCAGTTTTGATCATTGGTGTCTCGCCTGGTTGAGTTGTATCCGCAAGCCTTGATATTTTATCAATGTAGGATGCTTGACTTAGCCACGCCTTTCTTTGTTTTCGGTCCCGATAGATGGCAATTCCTAGGAACCATTGGAGGTCTTCACCACCGGAAATGTTGTATTGACCTTTCAGTTGGTTGACCAGGTCCTTGGCCTTTGAGTGTTGGGACTTCCGGTAAGCAAGGACAATGTCATCAACGTAGAAGAAGATAAGAATGCCGTCATAAGTCATGCAGCAGGGTTCGTGCGGGATTGGTTTGAATCCTATATCAAGGAGAGTAGTGGTGAATAGTCGTTGCCACAGCACCGGTGATTGCCGTAGTCCATAAACTGCTTTATTGAGATGAAAGATCTTTCCTCTCTGTTGGTATCCCCGAGGCATTCGCATGAAGACTTTCTTATTCAAGGGCGCATGCACGAAGGCGTTGACTGCGTCATACTGCTTGAGCTCTAGATCAAATCGAGCTGCAATTGCTATAAAGGTCCGAAATGAACGTGCTGCCAATGTCGCCGCGTACGTGTCTTCTGCTTTATCCTTGTTTTGTTGATCACCTCGTACAACTAGTCGAGCTTTGCACTTCATCAATCGGCCGTGTTTATCGAACTTATATATGTAGACCCACATGCAGTCTAGTATCTGATCTCCTTTTGCTTCAGATCGGTTGACTGTGGTCCAAGAATTCATTGGAACGTGGCTCTGCAGGTGTTCTTTCTCTGCTTGTTCGAACAGCCATCCCAAAGGGTGTCTTTCAATGTCTTCATGTTTTGTAGGTGGCGGAGGCAAGTCTCGACGATGAACAGCTTTCATACCTTTGCGCATCAGTCGCTGGAGCTGTGTTCGATCGAGAGTTTTCCCATGTAATCAGCTGATATGTTGACTCATCCGTCCGGCTGTAAATGCTGCTTTCCACACTGCATTTCTTGGTGAATTGAATGCTTCGATTGGTTCACTGTCCTCCAGACCTTCTTCCGGTCCTTGAATTGAGGCAGCTAACAAAGCTGTTGGCGGGGTTTGTTGAGGTGTAGGATATGGTGGAATCTGGTCCTTCATGACGTCGTCATCATTGGAGTAGGGTTCAGAAGAGCCTTGTTCCACAAGCTTAATTGCTTCTTTAACTGATTGTGTAAGGTTCTGATCACTGAGTACCTGAGTGTCGGATTCATTTTCAAGTTCGTGGATTTCTTCATCTAGAACTCCGAAATTGCCGACGAAGATATCTTCTGAATTTGAGCTTGAACTTGCATCCCCTTCTGTCCGCGAGCCCATGACATTCTCCGGTGTATGCAGAGAGGTGAGTAGTTGTGCTAGATCACCCAGATCAATGTGTAGACAGTCATCCTTCATGCGATCAAGGTTGCCGTCAAATAACTCGTCTTCGTTGAAAATCACGTCTCTGGCGCGTATGACAGTGTTCTTGATTGGGTTCCAAATCCTGTAAACATTGGTCGAGTCATATCCAACGAGGTATCCGATCCAGGCTTTGGGGTTGAATCTTTGGAGTCGTTTCTCTTTCTTCAGGTATTCCGTCGTTAAAGCAAAAGCCTTACAGCCGTAGACCTTTAGGTGAGCTTGTTGCGGTTTGCGATCAGGCCTGACAACACCTTCTCTTTGACCCAGAGAGGTATGGAACCGATCATACGGCGACTTCCAGTTGAACTTGTATCGAGGCGTCCGATTATGAAGGTAAACCGCGGCGCGACTAATCTCTGGCCATAGAGCCGCTGGCAACTTGGCCCCATGACGCATGGAACGCGCTTTGTCCTTGATCACACCCCCTGAGCGTTCGGCGGCTCCATCGAGTTCTTTGACATGAGGCGGCGAAGGTTCGATCTTGACATGCTGGCTTTCTAGCCATTGGAGGACGATTTTGCGTTTCATGAAAATCTCATTATCACATTCAATTTTCCGTGGACGAATCTGATATTGGCGTTCGAGCAGTCCAAAAAGGTGTCTTAACGCAGCAAGAACGGTCTCTGATTTGTGGTCTGTAAGATAGTAATCCCACATGAATCCGGACCAACGGTCAGTGATCAATAGTTGACTTTTGTAGCCACCGTATCCAGTATTATAGTCATGAAAATCAAGCGCCAGTTGGATACCTGGTTCTTCTTCGATTTCTCGTGGTTCTCGCCGAATTCGTCGTTTGGCTTTGGAAGTTCCGCATGCCTCACATTCAACAGTTTTTAAACCTTTGATCCGTACGCCTTTAGATGCGTTAACTAGGTGTTCTAGGGCTTGTGGTCCTGGATGCCCTAGACGTAGGTGCCACTGCATGGCATCTCCAATGACCGGACGCCGTTCAGTCCATGTGTTGAATTTGTGTTTTCTGATATGAAATGCCATTCGCGTGTATGGGTGGTCGTCTGGAATATACTCCAGTACCGATTGGTCATGTATTTCATGCAGGTAGGCCACCACAGAGTCATCTACACGTCGTAGGCAGTTGTGTTGAGGTCGAGTGTCCCACCAGTATCCTAGTTTTCGAAGCTGCCGAAAGGACACTAAGTTGGTTACAAATCCCTCGCAGTATGCGACATCGTACAGTCGAAGGATTCGCAGTTTCTTCTTCGGACCAAGGACTTGTATATCGACGTCTCCATAGCCATGAATAGCCACCTTGCTGTCTCCGGCCCACACGAAATCACCGTCGGGTGCAGATCGGAAATTGATAAAGCGTCCGATTTCATTGAATATATGGATTGTCGTTCCGGAGTCGAGAATGGATGAATTCTTCAGTGGATATTGATCAATAGAAAAGGCCGCTCTTGACAATAAGGGGGGTTGTACATAGAAACTTGCCTTGCATTTAGTAACCTCCCGAAGTAGGAGTCAATCATTTTCATATTTAGCATCCCGACCTACCTCCTTGCCTTTAAACATTGATTTTTGAAGTCGTTTGACTTCCTCTGTTAGCCCATGATCATTCTTGAGCTTCTCTTCAACCCGCTGCTGCACTGATGTCTTCGGCGTAAACCAATCAGGAGCTTTATTCGGGAAGATGTAGTAACAGGCTTGAAGTTCATGACCTTGATTGCAAGCACGACATTTTGGCCCCGATCCCGTGACAAGGGAAGTAATCCGGGAATGCCGTCTCTTTCCCCTCCCAGTATTCTGGGTTGATTGGGATCCCCTCTCAGCGTCCTGAGTTGATTGGGATGATTGCTTGCCAGTCTTCTTCTTCCCTGTTTTAACCCGCTTTTCGACGACACTGTTGATTGACGAATCAGATGATTCATCCGCAGTGCCTTGTCCAGCAAAGGTAGGTCCAAAAGATCCCTTAGCAACTCTTGATTTTGCATCAGGTCTAGAGGCCTTTACAGCTTTGCGGAAGTCATTTGCTAAGGTCCGATAGCTCAGAGTGCCTTCCTCCACTTGAATTGACTTTGTCAGCCGATAGGCCTCAGTCCATGAAGGTATGATCAAGTTGACGGCTGTGAGAAAGTCTTCGAACCAATCGTCAATGTTCGTGGCGAAGGAGAGATCTCTTTCAAGACCTTTAGCCATTGTCTGTTCCCAATTTGTAATCCATAATTCAACGTCTTTTGGTATTTTGGATAATGGTTTCACTGAACGCCTGTACGCGTCCTTGATATCTCGCTTGATATCGTACTCATTTGATCCGACTTGCTCCTTCAAGGCATTGTACCATTCTTTGATATCTTTCTCATAGCCAAAACATGTCTCCCTATAGCGAGAAGCAACCGTTCTCATCATCCATGATTGAAGCTTATTGAGTGCTTCCCGCTGTTTCTCGTACTGATCTTTCTGATCTTTATAGATGGTGTAGGCTAGTTGGAAAGTAGCTTGTCCTTCGCTCGATAAATCCACAATCGACACGTCACCCGTTGGTGAGATGTTTCTGTGAGTGTTTGTAGAGGAACCGCGAGTTTGGACCTGCGTTTGGAAATTCTTTGGTTCTGGTGCTGTAGGTTTAATATGGAAGGAGTCTGATCCTGCTATTTGATCGAGCAGGTCCCTTAGCTTTGCTTCTGCTTTGAATTGCTTGTTCCACGCATCCTAATCATTCGGAGATTTGAGGATGACCGATTCGTTGTACGACATGTTCCCAGGTATTGGAAATGTCGATTTCCGGAATAGGGGTCAACGGCAGAACAGTAGGACTTGTAGGACTTGATGAAGAGGGAGAAAAGAATCTAGCGAATCTGTATGTGCGAGGATAGCTCTTTGAGACACTGAGACTCTTAATTGTCAGATTCGTTAGATAAAAATAAATGATTTATGTGTCTGTCATGATGTCTTGTGTTGATCCTAAGTCAGGGGCCCTGTATCTAAAGCGGACTTATGCTAGGCCTATCCAAGTGCTGACTAATCTAACAGAACCCTACCATGGGCCCTGGGGTCCGGGAACTGAGTGGTGCTGTGGGTGCAAAAGAGGAGAGCGCCAGAGGCCGTTTTCGATTAAGACAAAACCCCAAGAGAAGATCCAATTGAGGCTCTCTTTCACGATGGGAGGAAGGATCTTTGGGTGTATGTTCCTTATTCATACGCTGCGGTGCCCTTGTGATGATTCTATACATTTGGATCCACATGATGACTCCCGACAAGTCCTCGTCAGTGTTATCTACTATTAGGAGGAAGGGCGTGAGGCAGCTAGGTGAAAATGAAGTTAAGGAACCATGTGTCACACCTTTCTCTGGAATTGGTTAATTCAGAAAAGGCGGTGTGATGGTGAAGGCAACCCTTCCGCTTCAAATTAACATTAGATATCATCACACCCTTGCTGCGGCGCATACCTACTCATTGACAGATACCTCAAACTCATTATATTACTATTGTTACTTTTCGTTCGATATGAGCTCCATCGACCATTGTGCAGTGTGTAGCTGGACCGCTGAACGTCAAAAGTATTGTAACTACAAAAGCTACGTCAAGCTCTTCTATGAAGCAGGCGACCGAGGCGTCTGCTCATTGGGCTCAAACTTGACTCTGAAAGACCGAGGTGCCAGCCTTCCGACGTTTGAAGTACCAAACATTCAGTTTGTGCAGGAAGAGACATCTATTCCTGTTCCCACTATTGTTGAGTCTTGGGAGGAAGACGAACACACTCTTATCTTAATGAAGCGTATTGCTGGCGAACCCCTCAGCAAAGCTTGGCCGAAGCTCTCTATGAGCTGCGTGCTTAATTGAATCCAACGGGCCAATTAAAGCTAGTTTTTGACTCGGCGCCGGCTGCGCTGTTAAGCTCTTGCACTTATTGCAAAGGACCTTTCCATAGTGTCTGCCCTCGCAATAGTCTGCGCGACTGCGGCAGTAATCTGTATCAGGATATAATTGGTTGTCAGTCGGACCCCGCAGCCCATCATCAGTGGTGGATCATTTCCTCGGTGGACCAGCTACAGTACATTGTCCAATGAAAGCCGTCCTGTTTGAGGGTGAGGGATCTCGACTGCGGAGAAGCTTGGCAGGAACCACTGCGGCACTAAGTTTCGCTCTGCTTCCTTCCATCCAATAGTCTGTCCTACTGGCAAGCCTGCGGCGCTAGCATCTCAGGCGCTGAGGACACAAGGTATCTCCAGCCGCCACATGTCGTCTCTGTAGGAAGTTTTCAATATTATAGTCAGCAAAGACTTCGATCGCGCCCTTTACGTTCCCAGACCCATGGGCGGGTATTTTTGAATATACTCAGACCTTACAATAAGTAAATTCAAGGAGACTCCTAACGCTGCAATGGTGATTTCAAGCATGAGATTGGATTCTAAAATCCTGAAGAGTATTGCAGTGAGTCTTGAGATACAATATGAAGTATACCAGGCGTATTTGACATGTGTGGACCAGGAATGATATACAGATAGACGTCACCAAATGGACAGCCAAAAAGTAAAAACATAAAAGCCGAAGTTCCAACTTAACTCTGTTGCCAAGCTGCAAGACTGGCACGATACATCTTCCCACGGCTGTCATTGGAATCGCAGTCTCTTTGAGCGACGCAGCAAAGGTTTCATAACGGTAGCTGTGTGGGAATCCAATAAGCGTGGGTCGATATTTGCCGTCTCCAAGTCAACGGATGAAGCGTGAGTCTCGGTGCCTGAACCATCGTCTGATTTCCGAGAAGCGTCTGAGCCGTCGATAGATGAAGAATCACTGCAAGTTACCTGAGGTGTTTTTGGGAGATGCTGCAGTTTAATTTGGATATCACATGAGTGCACAGTAACAGCATGGGCCAAGAATTTAGTAACCTCGGTGAACTTAGGGACATTGTGGCAGGCTGCCCATGTGCAGCTAATCCCGTCGTATGCAAGGATGAGATGAGAATTGATGAGATGGCGACGAAGAGAATCTTTTCGCTTAGGAGGGAATTTACGTGGAGGAGGATTAGATGCCGAACGACGGGATAAACCGCAACAGATAATGCAAACATCCCTTGGACGATCCAGGTTTTCTCTTCAGGAGTTAATGGTTCTTCTGACTTTTCATGTTCATCATCATCAACGTCATCATCTATATCCCAGTTGATTTGGTTGCCTCGCCGATTCGGTTCGCAGAGCTGTGAGAGTGCAACCATGTCCTTGGTAACCTGGATACGTCGTGCAAGTAGCTTATCCGCTTCAAAGCACTCCGCTTCAGGCCCGTAGAAATTTTCCACAAGTCGCGCTTGCTCAGGGAAGACGTACTCGGGGATGGCGAGCTCGCAACACTCATCCTCGGAGGTGTCAGCGTCACAGTCGTCAACATCGGACTGGCCGAGAAGTTGCTTGATCTGTTTGTCGACTTCAAGCACGGGTGCATTGTGAAAGTATTCCTTTCTGGCTGTCTGTCAGGTGTCGTTTGCTAGCGTTTTCCTTAGCTGAGATAGCTCTTTCTTGACTGCTTCGTGCCTTTGATAGAGGTGAGGGCTTGGAGCGCTTGTCGGCTTGAATCATATGTCATTGGTAAAGATTTGTGAAGTTCGTAGCCATATGAAGTGCGCTCAAGTCGCCGAAGGAGGGTATCTAGTATCTCCGGCTTCCATCGGAGGTCAAGAGACTGGCGGCGTTTAGGAACTCGGAGCCGCCATATTAGCTCTGGTGTTAAGTCGGTATTGAGGAAAGCCCCATCGCGGAAGGCTAGTGAGATGATTTGGTTGATTGGGCAATATGCCAGTTGGTAATCACCGTGCATGAAAAATTTGGATCTGAAAAAAGAAAAGGATCAGAAGATAGGACAAGTAGATGTCTTCAGAATGCAGGTTAAAAATGCTCTTACCCGTCAGCGCCTTCTGGATGACCTTTAAGATTCCAAAAGTCAATGATAGCACAAAGGACATCACGTTTGCTATCTAGGTCTCTAAGGTAAAAGAGCTTAATGTCGCGGTAGCAGACTGAAGCTGGAAGATCGTCCACCAAAACATGTTTGGGAAGGTCGCTCTGGAAAGTCTAGCCCCGTTTGTGTTTTCCCAGGGATGTGTCACCTAAAGAGGCCTTCTGCGGAAGTAGCACGCCTGGTCGAGTCCTGGTGATGGCGGACCAGAGCTGGGTTATGGCAAATTGGATGATCATGCTTCCATGACGAAAAAACCTTGAATATACCCAGTGATGGCGGTAGGTGACACAGAAGACATCCACGTCCAGTGTGTTCTTTTTCTTCATACACCGGGGGACCTTGCGCTCCGCAGGGAATACATGTTTGAGAAACTATTGTCTACATTAGCTTCGTACCTTATAGGGACCAAGAAAGCTAGAATACCCATCACATCTGTTCATGAACTTCACCATTCATGGAACGCCGGGCGAATAGGCCAAAGTATTGACAAAGGCGTCGCCAGTATTCGTCATATGACTGAAGAAGTTTCTTCTGAGAGGTCTTGTACATCCAATCAAAAAAATTCATGTAAATTACTTGATCCTCTGAAAGTAGATATTCCACGTAGTCCTTGTTCAACTGGATGCAATACTTGTCGCTAGTGTGTTATTTCTGAACCATCCTCTGGGGGTTTTCAACTCAAGGATGATACATACTTTCGCCAGTATTGTTCGATAACAGCAAGACCTTCAAGCATCTTGGGCTTGAAGTTTGGGGGGAGCCATCCAAGGCTGCGGTAATGTTCGAGTCTGGCTTGAGTCTCCTCGCAGAGAATGGGGTCAGTCCAGTACTGGTGCTCACCAGGTTAAGCAGGAGGCACAGGAGGGGGGGCCATCGCGGCCAGATGCAAATATTAGAGATTAGGGTACGGAGTTCAGGAAATGAATCAAGACGCGATCGACTTGGAGATTGGAGAGGGGATATGCTGAGGCGAGAGGAGGATGGGAGGTGGGAGGGTGTGAGGAAAAGGATGAGTGAAGACGAGTCCATTTTATACGGCACCCGACCAGGTCGGTCAAAAGTAGAGAACAGCTGGATATGGCCGCAGAGGAGGCCATTTTTGGCGTCGCTTTGGTCGTGAGTTGAAACGAATTGAATGCTTGCTGAGGTTGAGCGGCTGCATTAACTAACTAACTAACTAGTTAACCTAACTAGTTAGTTAGTTAGTTACCTCAGAACAGTGACTAAACAATTCTTGGCAGGTGCGGAATAGTGATGCGAAGCATGTGCTAGAATGCTAAAGCAGCGACTCGCCGCTGGGAGTTACAGGTGGAAATGCGGCCGTTAATGGCCTCAGTAGCGGTCATTTTCGGCGTCAATTTCACAGGTCCTCACATTCTATATGTAAAAAGATGGCGTTATAAGTAACTGCTTCACTTGAGATATCTGCACGCTTGTCTTATTCCTGGATGGTCCGCATTTGTCTCTTTCTGGTTCTCTTTTCCACTTTTGATGGCGAAGCAGCTGTTTTCAAGGTGGTTCCGGCAATGCTGTATAGGGAGCTCGAACTTGAATCCGAACGCTTAGCAAATAATTCACCCACTTCAGTCGCCGACTTAGGTTGCAGGCCCGGAAGCGTATTTTTGCTCCCATCACGTTTTGCTTTCAGAGTACCTCGTTTCCGCCGTTGGCTGGTCAACTGCTGAGGAGTTGGTTGGAGAATCCATCTGACCAGATCCTCGTCCAAACCACCCGGGCCTAGCAGGCAGGTGGGTATGTCTTGCAAAGGTTGATCGGCTCCAGGGGCCCCCAGTATTGATGGGACATTGCTATCAGTGGGGGCTTCAGCAAGCGCGAACATGCCTGGTTCCCAATATACTTGGTCAGCGGTTGGCCAGCTGGAAGGGAAGGGCCTCATATTCTGACCATCTACCTCCATTGGTCCAAAGAACACTTGGTCTGGCTGACAGAGTTGCAGCGAGGCCTCATCCCAAGCTTGGACATTCACCAGCTTCTTCGAATTCTTGCAGGCCCTTTCGAAAAGCTGGAATGCTTCCACGGGGGCAAGGCCGGATAGGATGTTGACAGGGAGGTTGACGCATAGATCCACCTGTAACTCAGCAACTGCTAAAATAGGGCTGATGTGCCCTGCAGGCGAACCTTCGGATGTTTACTCAACGAACGCAAATAAAGAAGATCATCGGGGTGATCGTCGATACTAGCGTAGGCCTCCTTCCACTATGAGTATGTCTCTCTTCACGAGTTGCACTCTTTTGCCTTACCAGGATTTCAATATTCAAGGTGACCATATCTATTCATCAGAGTTGTAAAGACCTATGATACGGAAAAGATCATGTATTGTGGGCACTCACTTATTGTCCAATCGCCTGAGAACTGCGTTATCAATGGCTGTCAGAGCTCCAGTCAACGACTCTGTAGCTAGTGAAGTCCAGGCAACTAATAATGATAGATCTCCTGAAGTAGGAAGTAATTAGAAACTACCTTCGGGCTGGTTGAGTTATATCGCTCTTCGGGGCCTCGAGTATTTGGACTACTTCAGAGAAAATATCAGGAGATACCAGACAAGGCAAGTCGTACAGTAACCATGAGAAATTAGAACTCCCACCCGACAATACCAGCATCTACTATGGAAGTTCTTTGTTGTGTACGTTATAAGGAATGTGTCAATCTCTTTGATGACCGTCCTGATCACGAATGAACCCAATGTTAGGAGGGCTGTAATTTACCAGCCTGAGCTCGAGGTTAGACGGATCTCGGCTTGATGAAGCTAGCAGTATTAACCAAAAAGGATCTGTGATCTCAGTAAAATACCAGGGCGTTGATCAGGATAGAACTTTTTGTACTAACTGTAACTTACAAGATTGAACTTCTGGGAGACTCTCGCAGCGATAATAATTGATTGGTGGCACTTCTTGGGCAAAATTACTAGCGCCTAGGAGGATATGAGATGCGGATGCCCAGGGGAGCTCGCAGTCATATAGATCTATTGTGTCCTCAGAAAAATACAGTAACAAAGACCTCAGAACTAGCGAGGTGGCGGACCTTGGCGTCCTTTACTGCTTTGTGTCAAATAAATACACCATAGATTGGTGCTTAAAGTCTGTTACTGATATGGCCCACAAGCAGGGATGGCTCGCGTTCAATCAAAGCCGGCAGTAATAATCCACCTCCTACCAGAAATAGTGGTGCATCCTTTATCTCTGCTAGAGAAAGTGCGTTGGTAAGTTTGGTCGTGATTTACGTCTGGTTGGCTTTGGAAAAAACACTTAGGGACGTAAAAGGTGAATTGATGTTGTGACATCTGTAATAAAAGTTGTGAACCCCAGCCAAGGCTGATTGAGAAAAATTACAAGCAAGCTTCTTCCCAGTAAATCTTACTGCTATCAGTCAACTGAGAGTCAACCTTGTAAGTTACAGCAGCGTCGGATGACCTGCATATGCATCTCACTTCTATTATAACCCGGTTCGCTGTGTCCTCCTTACCGCTAGTCTGATTCGACCCCCAATAGCCATTAGAGTCGATTGGGGTGAGTAATTTACTTTATTTGCAATAGGCATGACCACTCGCTGGTCATTATAGTAATTTACGGGCACGGTCGAACAATAGGGTCATGGCTGTGAAGGAAAGACTCGTACTATAGAACTATGCTCTGACCTGATCCAGATCTTAAGAAAATAACCGTAAAATCACTGGCTCAGCGACTGTAAATCACAGCCCCGATAGCAGAGATAATAAACATGGTTGAGGGGGTGTTTGCATAAAACTTTCAGAAGTCTCGTCTCGCCCGACAAAACAAAGAAATTTCCTAAGAGGACTAGGTGATCGAGTTCATGTAAACACCTCTTGCACTGTTCGGGACTATAGTCCCCTGTGCCTGCATAATCCGTAGAAGTGGAAGACGCAGGCAGTTTTCCCAGGCACGGTACCTTCTCTTAGAAGCACAGGCAGCAGGCGCCCAGCAGGGAAAGAAGAGAAGCTCCCAATGAAAAAGCGCTCCCTAGCCACGTTGCGGCCAGCATATGCGGTCCGAGGTGAGAATGAACCCTAAGGTCACCTAGAAAGGTTTGGATCCCTCCGGATATCAAGCTGTATAGGATCGTCACCGTGATTGATGCACTCAGAATGGATATCGAAGCAACCTGTCTGCAGGTTAGTCTTCTGCTCTTTCATCGCCTAGGTACTTGACTTACAAGGGAGCATATGAGCGTTGGAGCTGCCCCCCACTTGAACATAATTGTAAAGAGCTCCGCAATGACAGCCAGCGCGGTTGCGGCCATTCCAATGATATATGCTGCGATAGCCAACTTGGAAGGTTTCGAGAGTCCGGAAAGCACAGCCTTGCTTGCCCCCGGCAGTAGCGAAGCCGAACCTGGTGCGTTGGACTCTAAGATTGCCACCAAGTCGAATGAAAATGACAACGTAGGCGTCGAGCAACTTGAATACTTAGATGCACCTTCCTCGCCGCCACAATATCCCCAGAGCCCCACTACATAATAGTCAGGTAGGGCCGACTGGATCTTGCTCCGTAGGTCAGACAGACTGCCGCTGGCATGGGTTAACGCATCGTGGGTTGAATCTCCGAGATTAGACGCTTGGTCAGACAGGCTGAAGGATCGAACGATCCTCTGTTGCATCAAGCTTTTCTAATCTATCTGAAGCGCGCAATCCGTCAGTGATTAGGTCATGGAGTGGTGTACTCTCTTACCTTCAGGAAAAACAAATCCCGGGGTGACGAAGTAGATCCACATCCCTCAAAGACGACGGCCAAACATATCAAGGCTGCCACGGATAATGCTAAGGGGAACAGCTTCAGAGTATTTCGTAGCATTGCAAAATGGGCAAACAGCACACGACCCAGAAGAGGCAGGTTGCTGCAAACAATGGACTAGCGCATATGATGGGCTATCAGATCGATATAAATGCTATGACTTTGAGGATATTCATCTGTTTACATAAATGAACTATAACAAGAAACTTGCCTGCAAGCGTAACTTACCAGCTGAATTGAGCAAATACCAGGTCAGATGAGAGTTCTAATACACGATTAACCCAAAAAATACTAGGGGCTTGACATGTATAAACAGAGCAGAAAGCCATTTCTAGCATTGCCATAATTTACTACTCAGTGCGGCCATCTTTGCTGGAGGCCATCAACGCTCGCCATGCTGTATTTAATTTAGTATGTTGGAGTTTCTTTTGAGATGGCTCTGGGAAAACGAGACACACAATGACAGGATTAATCAGTAATGAAACATGTCTTAGGTATGAAGCACTTTTTATCAATCCAGGGTAACTTGCTGGACTAGATGTGAGACTGCCAAAGGGTACAGTGGTACTTAATGGCATCTTCTTGTCATGTTATAGTATATAAAGCCCTAACCTTGTTTCTTTTTTTCCCCTTTATCTCCCGCTGCTTCACTTTGCCCAAGCCGGCTCATATGCTATAACTGGGGAGATAGGAAACGAGCCACAATCTAAATCTATCGATTCGCCCCTACTTTACCTAGACCTTCAAGAATTGATTCGTACGTAATCCACACGGATATGTCTAATGGTCATCACTAATTACGATAGATCATTCAACAACCTTTGCCAATGTGGTCCAGAGTAACTTGTTTCTGTGTTGGTTGCAAGAAACGCATCTTCTATGACGAATTGAACATCAGAGTGTTCTTCTACGACCCTGGAGCAAGCTTAGCGTCGTTCCTGTCCCATATCTTCTCTGCCAAACAAGATATCAGGAACTGCACCTTGTGTCAAGAATGTGTCGGAACATATTCGGAAGAAGAGCAGCAAAGAATCATCCGCAAGGAAGCGGATCTATTGAACTCTCTGAGAGGGAAGGTTCAGTGGAAAAACCGTGAATGCCAGTTATGTTATCCAATTGCGCAATGGGAGGAAATCATGAAGACTATTAAGGAGGAGGGAGAGCTTGAGCTTCACCTATGTTGCTCAGCCTGGCTCGCCTAGACTTCGAAGGTTCTGGGAAAGCATTGCTTCTACTAGGCACTACTCTCGTCGGCTTGAATGACAATGCTGATAAGGATAGAGAAGAGGACTGCAGCTCATGTAGCAGGAACTGGCGCATCCGCAAATACAATGCCATTAGCTAAAACGAAGTGACTTAGATAGCTTATTTTCTAGTAGTAGAAATGCATATTGTAGCCCGTACTTTGATACAGGGACGACTTCGGAAAATGTCAGGCTGCCCAAGCCCCTCAACGACAACCTGCCATTTGCCTCACCGAAACACTGTGAAGACCGGCGTGCAGGAATCGATCACCCTGAAGATGTTCCTGCTAATAAGTAGCCTCAAAGCTTTAAGAAAATTCATTTTCTTCATATGGAGGAAACACCGCTGTCTTCTTGTGAGTATGGTTCCATTCTATACGAAGGAGCTTTGGAACGGATAGCCCGGAGGAAAGACAAACAATGAGACAGCGGAACACAGGGATGTGTTTATCTGGGATGTGCAGGGGAAATTCTATACCTTCATATACTCAGCTAGCTAGAAGTATTTGAAAGCCTTCCGGTAAGTGAACGAATACGTTTACCCTGAGGGTCTCATCAGCGAAATCTGCACCGGCCCACATGCTCCTACCATCCTGGGCCTTTTCTTTTCTTTTCTTTTTTTTTATCCGTTCCCTTTGAAGTCAATGATTTTCTAGCTTATGCATCCAATCAGACAATGCGCCCATAATGTTTGTCCAAACAGGAATGGCTTCACGAGGGCAATAATAATGCTGCTCTGAGTGACAAGGCCTGCGAGCTGCACCGAGCCAGGTCGACAAGTAGGTCCCCATCAGCGGTATTAGTGCGGGGAATCGGGAGCTCAACACCCGGCCCAGCCTCTTCAATGACTACCTCGTCATCCTTCTCATCATCATCGAAAGTCATGACAGAACGTCTGGCCACTGAACTTAGTCCGTCATCAATCACAACATCACAGCGAACTTCCTGGCAACCAAACCCGCTGCCTTCGTCGGCAGCTGCTACAACTACTATTCATTCTACAAGCAGTGTCACACGATCACCAACCAGAACATCTGCCACTTCGGCGATGTGTATTTCATCATATGCATCACCGTCCAAGCATGTAACTACAAGAACTCTACCATCGCACACAGTCGCTACATCCAGCAGGAGCTTCACTCAGATGGTCCGCGTGGAGCCTAGTGAACGCGATCTCCTAAAGTTTTTCCCTCAAACACTTGATGTTTCCGTCGGCGACACTGTCTGGTTCTACTCTTTGAATGGGTCGTTTCTACTCTACAACACTACCCTCGAATCGCCGTGTATACGCCTCGACAGATACGGCGACGATGCCTATAAACATGTGATTTTCCAGGTAAATTCCACAGAGCCATTATGGCTTATTGGCTTTCAGGATCGTGACAAATACCCTTGCTGCCCGTCGACTCACTTTGCTTTGAACCCTGGGACTCAAAGGGACCAGTTCCTTGATTCGATTGACCATATTTGCATCAACGTCACCTACGCTGCTACTTCTTCTCAGAGCACAACGACTGAAACTATTGTGGTCGACCCAACCGGAGGCGTCATTACTACCTTGGATATGAAAGTATGCAACGCAATAATGGCGGGCTAGAGATGCTCGTACTTCTCTTTCTCATCTGTTGCCTTCATTCTTGTCTACATCCCCATTATACTGCTGAGATTTTGCGTTTGTCGCACTAAAGTCATGGTATGAGTTCAAATGCGAGAGATTCTTGTAAATTTGAGTTATGTGGACTGGAAGAGGCGGTGTTGAAAGGCCAGAGAAAGTGCTCCTCCAATGGATTTAGATTTCAGTAACTACTGCGCTTACTTTCTATTCGCTGACTGCTATAGTTAGGACAGCTAGTTAAAAAAGCACCTGTTGCCTTGATTTTGGTAAAACCGGAAATCCGAATCTTGAGGTTCATCTTCTCTAAACTCTTGGTCGAGACCCCTCTTAAAAAACGTTCGTCAGGTGATCGGGGACGGTATCAGGTCGAAGAATATTATGCTATCCTAAGCATCAGTACGCTCCACACTTAACAGAGTGAAGTAGACTTCAGCTCAAAAACAAGGTCACCATGCAGTTTGGGCCCGCAGGATCGCCCTCAAAAGCCCGGAAAACCAGACTACAGCGTCCCTAAGGCGTACTGACCGATCGCGCTCCTCAACACCCTCGGAAAGGTCATGGAGGGAGTTATCGCCCTCCGAATAAGCTACCTGGCTGAGGAACATAACCTGCTACCGATCAACCACTTCGGCGGCCGCAAGGGTCAAGGGACAGAGACGGCACTCCACGCAATCATTGAGATGATCATCTCCGATACTCTTTCTCTTCTACAATGCGGATCTGATGGGTGACCACCAACTGAGCAGCAACTTCGGCTACATCGACGATACGACGATGGTGGTAGAAGGAGATTCTGCGGAAGAGAACTGCACACGCCTCGCGGCTGCGTTCAAAGACACCTGCGATCCATGGGCGAGGACTCACGCATCTGTGTTCGCGCCAGAGAGGTTCGCCTTGGTCCACTTCCAACCCCCTGGGAAGAAATCATCCGAGCCGTCCCCTGCCGACCCCCAGGACGCCCATCGAAGATCCGTGGACCGCAGGCACGGAAGGATCGTCCGGCTGGAGAGGTCTTCAAAGCTACTTGGCGTCATCCTCGACCATGACCTATCCTTTGAAGAGCATATGGCCTAAATTGACAAGAAATGCACAAAAGGCCTCCAGGCTACAGCATCGCTGGGCCGGAAGCAAATGGGGCATCTCGCTGGAGCAGAAAAGGCAGATCTATGATGCTTGCATCGCCCCGAGAGCGCTGTACGCATCCTTAGTTTGGCAAGTCCCCCGCGTCCATGGCCGCACCAAACTCCATGACAAGCAGATCACAACGCTCAGCAGCATCCAACGCCGAGCAGCACATGGAATTTCAGGCGGCTTTCTGAGTTCATATTCTGCGAATGTAGGTATACACTGTTCGTATCGCCAGGCTATGAACTAGTTCAGCAATGCAAATTGAAGTAGCGAATAGCAGTTTAGCGATGTTGATTGGTCCAAGAGCTATGACGACTTATTTTCCTGAATGGAAGGAATAGAAGGATAAATTCTTGGATAGATTCCGGTGCTAGCTCATTCCCCGATCAGACACACAAAACCTCTCAGCACCAACAACCACCAGCCGGAAACGATTTAAAGACATGATTCTCCCCACCACCGCCCCCTGGTGCGGGGAGACACGATCTGGTCTGTATGGTCGGCCAAACCGGAGTTCGAAGAGGGCTTCCAAAAAGTCAGGGCTCCGGCCCATCCAATCGAAGTAACAAAAGAAGCAGTCTTAGCAGCACCCAGCTGCAGCATGGCAGAATAGTCTCAATGTGAGATGGCGCGAAGCTCAAACGGAAAGCTGTGCGGAAAGCGGTGGAGAATCAAAAAGCCCCCGGATGGTCCAGCACGCATCCTGGTCAAGCTGGAGGAGCTCTTTCGTCAGGCTCCAACAGTAGTGACGTCTCCAACAGTAGTGACGTGATATGCTTCAAGTGTTCCATCAAATGGTTTCGTAGGCGTACCCAAGTGTCATAGACGCTGCCACAGAAACAGCACGGTCCTCTGACATCTTTATCCCCGTTGTACCTGTAGTCGTTGTCAATGTGTAGCTGTACCTCTGAGGTACTTTTCTTGTGCCGACGAATTAGGTGTTTACACATATTTTCTTTCCGATAGGTACTGAAATCGCAGCCAGAGCATTTGCACACCCACTGCTTTTTTGATCGACGGTGGACTTCGGAGACATGGCGGAACCACCGCCCTTTATTCATGAAGCCCTCGCAATCCGGAAAAGTGCAAGTAAATAGTTGCATGTCTTCACGAATGTGATCCCTCCAGTCTGATGGTGTCTTAAATACTCGAATCCGCAAACAGCACGGGCATTCGAATGTAGCGGGCAATTTTGCCAGGGATGACAAGTAGAGAAAGTGGGGCGTGTTAATAATGGTTCTACCTCGGGAGGCCTCGACGATCCGAGAGGGAAGGCTTTTTGTAAAACAATGATCCCCAGCTTTGCAACCATGGAGGACAGCCGCTTGTGCATGGTTCTTCATATTTTCGATGACACTCCCAAAATGTCGAATCTGGGCACGAGCTAGGCGGTCAATAAGCTCATGTGCAAGTCCATGAAATTCATGTTCGATTCGGGATTTAAAGGAATCGATGGTCTCTTGCAGTGTACGAAGTCGTGGACCTTGCATGTGTTCCCCCTCTAACGCGGTGTGGTTGGCAGTGTCCACGCCGTTAGGTGTACAGCAATGATTGCTGAAGCACAATAAGTACTCATTCCGAGAACAAACCAACCGACCACAAACACAAGTTGGTGGCAACGCGTCGGGTAAATGTTCATTTTCAACATGCTTCTTGAGTCTTTTGCGATAGTGATATAGCTGGGAGCACTTGATGCACCTATAGATTGTGGAAATGGTTTCTGGCGTCGATTTAGGTGGAATTAGGAGCTGGAAAATGGCTTCTGAGCGCGAGCTATTAGGTTTGTCTTCGTTCCCCTGCGCAAACTCTGTGTGGTATGCTGAAGACGGGGGATTTAAAAGGCTCTTGATCGTTAGGTCGCATGTGTTGCTCCGCGAGTGGTTATCAAGCGTAGGCCACCCCGACTGATCATCAGCTGGGGGCTCCCGGAAAGTCCCTGTTTGACCATGTTCGTGACCGGGATGATTGAAGGTACTGTGGCTAAGTACGGCCCCTTAGTCCATGAATGTAGAAGGAGCGAACTCTCCATACCGGACAGAAGTAGTAAACTCGCTTGGCATCTGAGGGAATGGACGTAAATTGGGGCCGATGTTAGGTTTCTCATATTCCTGAGTATAGTATGGGGTGCGTGGAGGAGAGCCAGCAGTGGCTGGCAAAGGCAAGTGCTTAGCCGAGGGAGGGAAGAAATTGGTGGATGAATCAATCATGGACTGTAGCGATGGCGTTCAGAATAGTTAGTTTGATTCCTCAGTCAACTTGGGGTAAGTACCTTCTCTTCGCACGGCATGCTTGAGCTGTTGCTGCCTGGCCCATTGACGCGCTGTGGGAAGGCTTGGGTCTGTTTTTGCATTTGAAAACAGTACATAGCGAAGTAAAGCTGCAATAAAAATGATTCAGGATGCCCAATCTGAAGATGTATATGAAGTAGAATGGAATGTGTTGAGGATTTTGGGACGAGAATGGGCAATGTATATAACTGACTAGCCTAAAACTCCATCGTTGCTCAGCCTTATCCCCCGACATTTCCTTTTCTTTCTCTCTCCATTTTTTATTTTTTTAATTTATAAAGACAAGGATTCTGCTCTCTCGGCTGTGGTAATCTGTTGAGCCCCCTATACAGTTGGTTGCAGCCAATCCATGCTGGCAGAGATAAAGTGCTTTGCATACTGGTGAATCAATTAACTTTTGTGTCCCATAGAGGGTATTATTGTCGAAAGTTAGCAATTTCCAATGGTTCGCAGATATCCTTAATGCTATGAGCTCCGCCAGTAGCCTGCTTGCTCGATTGTGGGTTGTTTTTCAGGCAGCATACATAGCACAGTACGTGTGATGGACAACGAAAACTATTCAGACTCTTTCAATATTCTTATACTTTGATTTTAATCTAGATCCGGTCGGCCGCAATGAGCCGTTGACCATTATGGTACCCTTCGCCATAGACAACCTCTACCGATATTAGCGCGGTAATTCCTGGTGCGCTCGCATGGGTTGGTGAGCTAGTGAGCTGGTAGCATTGTAATTGCCTCTCTGCGACCCTTCAAAGCCAGCAAAAGGCATGACCATGACCCTTCACTTTGTCGATATCAACATCAAGATGCTGGAGCAAGTCGCTTCACATCTGCTTCATTTGCCAACCTGACGCTTTATATGCAACCATATTCGATTCCTACCCCTAGGGTAGCCCGCCCATCCTTTCTTTCCTTAGTGTGAGTCCTTCTTCTGCACCTGTATTTCGCCGGCTCTGCTCTTCTACTTGCCATTAGCACTTGAGTTTCTATAAGTAGGGGAGGGTACAACAACTATTTGAGGAAAAGCAACCATGTTACTCTTGGTGCGGATGAGTGGCGCTCGGGGCGGAATTCTCAGGATCAGGGAAGCATTTTTCCTTAAAGCGAAGGTGTATGATGACCGATAGGAGGAAAGCCCCCAACCATATCATTAGAATAAGTATCAGAAAGGTACCAATTGCCGACATCATGTGGCAGGTGCGTGGATGAGAATATTCCACGCCTTTTTTACGTGCCTTTACCCATTATTATATCTCTGGAGGCTACGAATTCTACTGCACCACTCAGGTTTCAGGTAAACTGACAAATTCCATGAGGTGATCGTAACTGAGATGTCTCCTCCGTCAATCCTGTAGGAGGCCTGTTGAAGGCAGCTCTAAAGATGGGCAGCTGGTTTGATCCCTGCATGGGTCTTACAGCTTTGGAGGCTTTGTGTCTTTGTCATGTTGGTGTTCTGCTGTTCATTTGTCGGTGATGGGAGTCACTTAGAGATAGAAAATATGTTTATTTGTGACGCTAGTTTAATTTATGTTGTCTTAAGAGCATGGCCCCTTTTATGCTCACCGGGGCTGGACAGGAGTAGAACATGCGTTGCGGTTCTGGTCCTGGCTTGAGTGGTCCTGACCACTGTGCAGGGGTGATTGACATGCACTGAGTAACGCTGGTGGTGACTTGGGAAAAGCTGCCCTGGCCACGTTGGAAACATTATACGTAGTAATGACCAGGCCATACAAGCCAGAGCTTGTCACGGAAATGGAGTAGTATGTGTCTTGCAGCAGTCGAAAGGACGTAAATATATGATGCTGTCATGTAACTACGAGGTTAGGGCACTTGATGATATTGAGCATTGTAAACATGACTAGCTAGAGTAATGTATGTTGGTAGTGCTGGCTCTGATCCGTATATTAGACGCCAATGGAAGCAACATAGAATTAATCCTTCATATTATGTACAACACACAGAACAATTCAAAGAAGCACCAGAAGAAAATGAAGAGTAGCAGTAATTAATCAGCCCAATGATGTCTGGGACAAGGTTGCCCAAGTGTAAAATCGCCCTAATTCCGGAACGAATATGGGCTCTAATTTCGCCTTGGATATGGTGTCGTCATGGTTCGACCCCATTTCTGGATTATCAGGCTGAGCTGGTCTGATAATGCAGTATCTGGTGCACCAGTCTTGCCATGAATCTGGACGTTGCTCAATCGACTGTACCTCATCCAAATTTTGAATAGACGTAGAGGCATCATGGTTGTAACGGGCGTGATTTGCCTCTTCTATGGGTTACTCACATTTCCTTCTTCTTCGACAGAAGGCAACTTATCGTCTTCCCATTCAGCCCTACTGGTGTATTACATGCGCCGAAAGGAAGCTTCATACCAAGCCATGTCGAAATAACCATGCGGCGATTGTGAAGGATAGGTTCCCCGACGGTTTGCTGACAAAAATGTTCATACTTACTCTGCGGAAGCTCCTTTGCTATCAGGGTGCTGGACTACACAAAATTGCAGAATGCCGACCTGCGACTCCTACAAAGCCCTCCCGCAGACGCAAAGAAATTTAGTCCTCTGTACTATTGATGGTTGGCTGGCTAGTTGAATTTATGGCAATGAATATCAATACAAAATCTAAATTTACGATGACATAGCACACAGTTAAC